TAAACAGCTGTTCAAACTGTATGAATAAACGTTACCTAAGAACGTTCAAAGATATTTAAAACCACAACCCTTCGTAGTTTGCATTTGGTTTCGAAATATGCCTGTTTGGATCAGTGCAACAGGTAGGCTAGAATAACTGAGGTTTGCATGGGCCAGTAGAGTACTTTGGTTGTTATCATTAGGTTTGAATGAAAACCCTAAGTCAAATTCATCTGTCAAGTTTACAAAATTGCTGTTGGCAAATAGGAGGTCATAATAGCCTGAAGCATTAATGGTGGGGTCAACATTATTTAATTGTTTGCATTCTGATGCTGTGATGGAGATTCAGCTAGCACATTATTGTCAATTGTAGCGGCTTGTATTAAATAGCGGCAATACATGAAGCCTAGAGATAATGGTTGCAGTGGACTGCAAAAATCAAGATTGTGAAGTTGTGGTGAGCAATTTTTCAGTCAAATTGTGAAGATGCAGGCACCTGTGTTATTTGAATTACCCGTTGACAACTTGCTACCCAACGGAAAACGGTAAACTATACAAATATGCCAGTGAAATGAGAGATAGTTTAAAACCATGCGCGCATGATGTCACTGATTGTACAATTTCATTTCGGTAAAATAAAGCTACCTTTTGGCGAATGCGTTTTTGAGAATGATTGTTCAGTTTTCACCTAATCATGGTTAGTTGGCGTTACCATCAGTGGGATACCGGTATCTCAACAAAAATACTTGAAATCAAATTCAAAAACGAATTAAACATACTGCAGTCGCATGACAGATCATAAATGGATTATCGGCTGCATGATGTAAGTGGAGTCCATGAATTTTCTTGCTCCAAAATATCATTTGTTGTGACTCAGCAAAGGAACTCCACAATAGTTTTCTTAGGCCACAAAGTAACCAGCAGCATGAGGTCGGAAGAGAACACCAATAATGATGATAATATTAATACTAGTAAGAAATTTTTACTCCACCGGAAATGGGTAAATCTTGAGCGCCACATTTTCCTGATTTTAACTGCGAAATTTCGTTTCAAAATGTCTCATCTTCGAGCGAAGTCTGATTTTCAGAAACAGATCCCCCGGTTTAATTTGACTGAATATGCTGGGAGAATCATCCTCGAACGATACAGCGTTTTGAGTGTGTGGCTTTACAAGCCTATATTGCAGTTGGATTGGGAAAAAACCTGGAAGGTTCACTGAAATATACTTCTTGGTTGCCGGAGTCATATCACTACAAATTGACTGGGCAAAAACACCTCGGGGTAAAATTTTAAAGTAAGTGAACGGTTCAAAACTTCTGAAATATCGACACAGCGTTAGCATGACTCCGATGTCTTTCGCGGGGAGAAACTCCTCCATGAAATGAGCAACCATTCCTACGCTTCGTAAACGCATAAAAAGTCCATATGTACAACATTATCTTATCTGCCTGAGAACATTTCACTGAAATTCGAAAGTATCTTTTGATTTTCATAATCGTCCTGAATCTCATAGACGAGATAGTAAAAAGTTATACCTTGTAGACATTGCAAACCTTTGTGCATATTGCAGAGCCTTGCCTAGGTATGGAAAACTCGATTGACTCAGCATATAAGCTGATAGTTAGTATTGTTACCTGTCTAATACAGCTAATTTACTGACATTGGCGTCCAGCGTAGATAGACTCCTTCTTTATGCCCTCAGGTGCTTTCAGCTAACCGCCTGACTACTCACACTATACAGGACGCTGGGCTTTAGCTATTACCCGTTGCACAGTTTACTGTACTACTGAGTCACCTCAGATATTAAGCTTCACATCATGCACTTGATAATAACATCTAAATGGTGTAAACGCGCTTCCCAACATTTTGAACGTTCCTTTGTAAAATGGAAGAAAGGATAAAGTAGGTGTGTGCCTCTGAGGGCTTCATCTTCCTCAAAATTCTGGTCCATCGGTCGGCTGCACTCCAAATGGAAATTTGGACCCTGAATGTTCCCTTATTTTGATGAAACTAAGTAATTTGGCAAATTGGATGGAAAAACCATGATTATGGGACAAAAATAAGAAAGGCAGGTTTCCAAAGAGTCATTGCATGAGGCTTTTTTTTAGCTCGAATGGTTTTCTGACGATGGGTTGTATATACGGATGTTCACAATCCTCAAGGCCACTTATGTTGGAGACGGATGAGTTTTGAAGGTTGTCGAAATTAATTCGCCGTCTAATGACATCTCGTCCCTTCGCCAACAGCTGAAATGTGTTCAAAAAACAATGTAGGAGCTTCCACGGTTGATTCGATAACTGACCATCTAAGGACGATAAATAAAAGAGATTTGTGGAAGTGGGAGCTTTGTGTGACTGTAGTTTTCCTCAAGCCCAATTTCTTCACTAAGAAATGATAATTCCGTGCGTTCTACGGAAGCCGTGACACACGTAGTCATCGCTTTTGCTGACATGTGTAGTTGGGACAGGTTGATTGGATGAAGCAGTTTTTGTTGAAGCTGAAAAAACAATAAACATTACATTGTGTAACGCCAGCATGAGGTTAATACGTCAGTGCGCGCTCGGACAGGTCCAAAGCAACATCCTCGAAAGCTTGGATAATTACATCAGTCAGGTTATCCTCTGCTATGTTCATTCACGGCCGTTCATGACAAGAATGCGAAAATGAATGCGAACCATTTAGGCTGACAGAATGCTCAGCAAGAACTGGAAAGATAATACTAATAGTCGTTCAGTTGTTACCCCCTTTCGGTGCCTAGCCACCATGCAATGAGTGCTGGGATACTACTTGATTGCCCAAACCTAGATACGGGAAGTCAAGAGGCAGAGGTCTGGTTCGAACCGAGGATTCTCCGGTCAGTAAATTCGCGCTCTATACACTGAACCATCTCGCCTTGAGAAGAAATGGTCACAAACTATATTTGGACCCCCTGTAAAATTTAGGGCTACCGAAAGCATTGTGAACGCTGAGCATCACGTCAACTAGAAACCATTGGTTATTTGGGTATATGTTATGCCCATCATCCATCTTTGGTGTCTCGTGACATTTCGCTTGTGGTAAGAGTTATACGCCTACATTGAGTGATTTAAAAACTTTGATATAGAATGTCGTTGCAATCTTTGTCTTTAGCGCCCAGACGTAATCAGTGTTACTCACTTACTCAAAGAATAATGACAGTTCATTTTCCAAATTTCTCAGTCTTCTTTGTTTATCATACACGGGCATATAAAGGCTTTAATTTATCTATGGTCTTTGGTCGAAGATTTGGCCGCTACTCTGGAAGAAAACGGAATAAGAATTCAAAAGGCTTTTTGGTAATTTCTTGATTTTGCAATGACACAGCATTGGGTTCTGGGTTCCGGGTACGTTTGCAGGCTCAACATTCGAAGCCTAAACTACCCATTCGACGAGTTGACATTATAAGGTGTCTGCTCGAAAATTTAAAACAAATAAAGAATGTATCAGAATTCTCCACCAGTAGTATGGAAACGCTTGCAAATGTTTGAAGTTTGAAGCTTTAGGTAAACAACCGAAAAACGCACAAAGCGTATTTCTGCGCGCTCAAACTTATCCAATAGTAGCGCACAAATTTTAACTCGCTTGTGGGGAGCTGGCACTGAAGTCCAATCTGGAAAGGGATGAGCGCTCTTCAGTCATACTGCGAGCACTTGTTTAACAAATTTTTCCTCAGTAACGTCCCTTTAAGCGGTTTTCAATGAAATCAAAGTAATTAAAGATTGATTCATACAACTTAATCACGCTTAAGTTCATCGAGCTTACTGATATTTGTGCCGACGTTGGTTTAGTAGGATTAGTACCAATTAACTACGGCTGAATGCGGTGTTACAAAGTACACTGAGTTATAATAAGATTGGTTAGCTGCTCCACTCGTTGCATGGGTTGGCTCTAAAATGCAAGTTAGCGCTTTGTGCACCGTATACTGACCGTTTATTTGTTTGCTTGTGGCAGAGGATGGCTAGTTGCAAATCCTAGACTGGATGCTCCCATGGGCATCTGACGAAATGAACTTGCGAATCAGTAACGGAACCCGAAACACCGGTTTGCACGTTCAAGTTGATTAAAACAGTGGTTATAGTCAGAATGACATCGCAGTTACTTTTCACTGGAGGCACCTCGGCTGCCCTGCATGAGGTCCTATATAAGTCCATGATGATCCGATATCAATTGTTGGTCGAAACACTTACAACGAATATTGCATTTGAAGGCATACCTTATTCTGTTGATGAACTCTACCTTAATAGCAGGGCTTGCAACTGGGCTTGCCTGATACACCGTATGTGACAATTATTCCAAATATTTCGCCAACTGGCATCAACATTTTACGATTCGTTCAATACTTTGCTTAATTACATCAAACTGCTACAGGAAAATCCCACAAACTAAACTGTCAAGTTTTCTGTTTGGTGACTAACAAAAGGAATTATACTTAACTCAATTTACGTCACTCCCTCGATTGAACACACGATATTAAAATAAACATGTTTTGTGTGTTATCTTTTATCTTATTTTGGTTTTTCTGATTGGTTTTTTAAGTGATCCTTGCTCCCTGCAAATAATAATTGGCACCACTACAATTTTGTATTACATAATAGTGTGCAACTCCGTGGCAGAAAGAAACTTCATATTAAAATACCTTTACTAAATGACTACACATGTTAAACATTCACATCATATGTAGCACTTGTAAACTGCTCTTTTTCGTGCTCAGTATCATCTTTTTTTTCCTATCATTATCAGTCACATCGCTGTACAAAAGTTTGCTTTACTGAAAAACAACCGCCGGTTGGCTATATTTGACCGCTGCTAACACTAAACGTGACCAAACATTTTAGCTACAAACACTGGACTAATATATTCACACTTGTGGAATAATATTTCTAGCACCGGAGATCTGGAATACCAGAAAGATATAACTATTCTTGGTGTAGTGGTTCAACGGAATACGGAAATACGGAATCTCCTATTTTGAACTGTGAGTCAAGATTTACTGGGATTTTTCTCCTTGTGACTTTGTTTCTGGCTTACATTAGTAATTTGCTCTGTTCACTAGAGACTCCATAGAGCCGTTAACCACTACACATATGGCAATCATTGAAATTAGATTAATTATTGGGCAACATCGTCAACCCTGAGAATTCTGCTGCCTGGTTTGGGGAGACAAGATCTATTGGGGTTTTCCTATGTGTTGGATGTATAGATGTACAGAATGCAATACGAAGCGCCATTAGTTTGGTATTTCAACATATTGCTGCTCCCAGTTAGTCGGATTTAATGAAAATAACTTAGCATCCTCATCCATTTAAAACGTTCACTTTATTCCTGCTTAACGGGGATTTTTTGCCCGCAATTTTACATGCTTCAAAAATTAGGCGATATGCAGAAGACACTTAAAATATAATCGTATAATATCATTCGGCAGATTTTTTGAGATTCCGAACAGCATTAACCCACGAATATTCTTACCAACACAATAACTCTCGGCGTCCAGCTTGCTGAATGAACAGCTAACAGGCGATTCAAACTCACTTGGCAGCATTGTTGAAGAGGCTGAAATTACAGGCATATCAATCCGACGTGAAGAGAAACAAATGAAACGAAAGTGGGGAATTCATCTACTAATCAGCCTAGAAGAGGTGATGAGGCCGGGACTCGAACCGCGGCGCATGAAGTGGACGCCAAGCGTGTTGACCACTATACCACAACGTCAGTACTGAAGATGCCGAAAACAGAGATAGATAAGTTCAGCGGGAATCCGATAGAAGAACCGCGGCGAAGTGGACGCCAAGCGTGTTGACCACTATACCACAACGTCAGTACTGAAGATGCCGAAAACAGAGATAGATAAGTTCAGTCAGCGTCCGATAGAATTCTGTAAGTTTATGAAAGCGTTCGAAATGAGCGTAGCTAACCGGCTGCTTGACGACAGCAATAAATTGATGTAACTTCTCTTTTACTGCTGTAGGGAAGCCGAGGAGGCCATCGAACACTGCGTGTTCCGACCTGGAAAGACAAGCTATCAAAGAGCCATGGATACCCTTAAGACGCAGTTCGGAAGGCACACGACATTGCACAGTCGTTCATGAACGAGCTTCTGACTGGAGGGCCCATTGCTCCCGGAGACGTCGATGCCTTACGAAGGCTGATAACGAAAATGGTGAATTATGATCTCGCACTGAGACCGATGCATTACATGGGGGACTTGAACCGCTCAACCAATCTCAAGCGTATACTGGAACGTCTACCTTGGCGTTTGCAAGAAAAGAGGGCTGACGTGGCAGACGACATACTGCGTTCGGGATCAGAGCCGGAGTTTGACCATTTAGTATAATTTCTTAACAGAAGTGTATCCATTGCTTCAAACTGCTACGGTGTTATCGCCAGCACAAGAAGATATGGTAATCAGATAGACAAAGTATGCTTAGAACGCCCACCTAGAAAGGCCCGCATCAACGTCGCAGCTGTGAAAGCGAGTGTGACTTGTCCTCACTGTTCCCAGACTCAT